GAGGAGGAGGAGGAGGAGAGGAAATGGATGGAGACGTGAAGGCGAGATTGGAAGTCTGTTTACTTGCTATACGTACCTGGGCTACCAGTGAGGTTAGGTTCACTACTCCCTCGTCTCGTCGTCTCTCTCTTCTCATTGAGCCTTAGGCGTACTCCAGCATTCCATGGTCTCTCTCCTCCTGATGGGTTTTTTTGACGCAAGTTTCTGAAATCACTGAGGGCATTATACACACACGAGCATATTCCGTGACGTAGCTGACAGCAATTACGGCCCGAGCCGAATGCATCTGACCGCAATCACGTCCGAAATTCAGGAGCAAGAAGGCCCCCCATCTTCCCCCGAATAGAACTGCGGTCATTACCGCCGTATCCAGCCTGAGAATCGCTCTCTCTCCCACTTATCCTCCAACACCTTAACGCGCACCAGGGCATACTCACACTAGGACTTTTATACTTATTTTTGGACGGAACTGCGGCCAGATACATCCAGGTATGGACGTGAATGTGGTCAGATACACTTGAGATACCGCTAGTGTTAGTACGCCCTCAGCCGTGGGGTTGAGCAGGATGGCAAGCTGCGCGTCGGCCACGGGGTCGAAAGTTGGTATGAGCAGTTCGATGGGCTAGATCTGTGGTGAGGACGCGGGCCCGGGCCATTTTTACTGAGTTTTTTTTTTTTTCCGAGTTGTTACAATCGGAGATGCAACCTCGTGAGGTTGGCCGCGGGCTCGGTCGTGCACGACCACTGATCAATGGGAAAATCTCGTGGTGGCGACCGTCGGATAGGCCCTTTGTGTCTCTCTTTCAGCACCACGTGTAGTTTTTTTTTTTTTTTTTTTTTTTTTTTTTTTTTTTTTTTAAAAAGGGGGGGGCTTTTGGGTTTTTTTTTTCTTTTACACACCCCTATAAAAATAAATTTTTTTTTTTTTTTTTTTTTTTTTTTTTTTTTTTTTTTTTTTGNATTTTTTTTTTTTTTTTTTTTTTTTTTTTTTTTTGGTAAAAGGGCGATGGCCTTGAGGTATTATCATCGGACTAACCAGCCCAGGTAAATTCAATCTTGTGTCTACATTTGTCATGCGACTGAAGAGCATTGCCTTCAATCTTGTGTCTACACTTTCTTCTCTCTTTCTTCTGCCGGGGCAAGGTCCCACTTACACGAATTAAGAGATATTGACCGTAGATAGCAAAGATCAACGGCCGGAATCTCTTAATCCATGCAAGTGGGACCTTGCCCCGGGTCAAAGGGCATCGTTAGACACTCCTTAGGAGTTCCTTGAGCCACAAGGAATTTCCATGTTTACTCTTTCTGTTAGTGCCAAAATAGGCGCTTTGTTCACAGTTTTTGGGAAAAAACTATGTGGGGAACCTTTTGGGTTTCCTTGAGCCACAAGGAATTTCCATGTTTACTCTTTCTTTTAGTGCCAAAATAGGCGCTTTGTTCACAGTTTTTGGGGAAAACCTGGGGGACCTTTTGAGTTTGGGATGCTGGAAACACTTGCCTATTAATACTGCTATTTATCTATTTAGGTGCACTACATTTTCTATAATTCTTTTCTGCAGATTTAGCTTCTCTTTTTGTTTGTACAGGTCTCATAAATATACCAATAATGAAATTCTCTGTAAATTGGTGGAACACTTTGCATCAACCTTCTAGTATTAGCCAATTTGGTACATCAATACATCTTTCTATGCTGATACCCATCTTTCTGATGTTTACTAGCTTTTTGTTGTTAACTTCGATTTTTCTTCTCAGCTAAAGCGCCAAGTGGCGCTCGTAGACCAGAGAGGGATTTGCAGTCCTTGGGAAGGAGGAAACGGATGCCCGTTTTCAAGGTGCCAGGTTGTTTCTAGGTAAGTTGTGGTTTTCTTTTTTTTAATTTCTTTTTCTTCTTCTTTTGTTTCTTTTTGGATGTTACTTCGTTCCCCCTCCCCGTTCGTAATCGTTGAGACACAGCCAACAGGAAAAACGGGGAGGGGTTGGGACGAGCAACCTAAGGACTGTAAAAAAAAAAAAAAAAAAAGCAAACAAAACAACAGTCTTTTCAGAATGTGTGGGAGCACAAAGGCTCCCACTTCGTTTTAAACAGATGATTGTTGCCACGAGATCTTGAGATCTCGCGGCCCACAGTGCACACGCAGAGAAACTGTGGGAGTTGAGTGGAGAGGGAGAAAGAAAGAAATGGGAGGATAGGAGAGAGGAGGACCTACTCCTCCCGACCTGACAGCTGCCTCCCCGTTGTCAGGGGGAGGAAGGGAAAAAAAAAAAAATAATAAAAAATAAAAAAAAAATGAGAAACGGGATCAGACTTTTTTTGAAAATCTGTATTTTTTGGTTTGCGCCAATATTTTTTTGGTGGCGTAAAAAAAAAATTTCGGCTTTGAATTTTTTTTTGTAGGTAGCCAGGCACCTAGGCCATGTGCGTCAATTGTTTTAGATTTTTTTATTTGGCAAACAGTTTTCTAAAAATCATCAAAGTCGGGGTACGTTTTGCACCCCGATCTGAGCCGGTCGGGATTTGAACTCGTGAATTTTCACGAGTTGTTTCCCAACCTCTCCCAATCTGACAAGAGCCATCCCCGTTTTCAGGGGAGGGCAAGGGAGAAAAGAGAAAAAGAACGTAGAAGGAGAGAAAAGGAAAAAGAAAAAAACCACGGCCATGAATGTGGCTCTACGATATGATACAGGCCAAACTGGCTTGAATGTGACTCACGCCGGAGGCTGGGGAGTTGATGGGGTGGTGAGGGGAACTTGGCTGGAAACAGTCATTTTCCTGCTGAACTTGCACTCAGTGCGGAGCTGAGTGCAGGGAAAAGGGAGAAAAAGAGGATGGCAGTTGAGTACAACTGCCACCCTAAGTGTGTGGCTGAGGTGAGACAGCCTCAGTCCGTTGATCTGGCTCAGATCAACGGCCTCAGGCAAGTGACGAATTTTGCCTGGGGGCAGCTGAGGCTGCTGCTGCCCTCCTCAGCCACTACAAAAGAGGCAGTTGTCCCCCAACTGCCTCGCACTTGCCTCTAGCTGTCAGTGTGCGACAGCACACTTGCCTCATCGCTGGAGTGCTTGTGAGGAGGCAGGAATGTTCTCGGCGGAGCCGGAGGACTGCGGAGGAGCGAGACGAAGGAGGAGACAACCATAGCCTTGGCTGGAGCACTCTGCTCCACCCCTTGGCAGGCTGGTCTCAAGGGGGACTCTGCGGCAGCGTGGTGAGGAGCGGCAGCGGAGTGTGGCAAGGAGCGACGGGGAGCACGACAACTGGTGGAGGGGTGCCGACCGATATTTTTGGCCACTATAACCCATTTTTGTGGGGTTATGCTGCCGAAATACCGCCGCGTCGGCGCGACAACTTTATTTTGAGGGGTGACCTTACCGTTTTCACGGCACGTCGGCGGCACTTTGTTTTGAAGAGTGACGCTGCCGTTTTCACGGCACGGTAGTACAGTGCGGCGGAGCGCCGCCATCTTTTTGTGGTGGTACGACACGACGAAGCGCCGCCATCTTTTCACGGTGGTACGGCACAGCGAAGCGCCGCCGTCTTTTTGCGGTGGTACGACACGGCGAAGCGCTGCCGTTTTTTTTACGGTGGTACGGCACATCAAAGCACTCCCGTTTTTTTTACGATGGTACGACACGGCGAAGCGTTGCCGTCTTTTGTGGTGGTACGACACCACGAAGCGCTGCCGAATTTTTTACGGTGGTACGACACGGCGAAGCGTTGCTATTTTCTTTTTTTTTTTTACGGTGGTACGACACGGCGAAGCGCTGCCGTTTTTTTTTTACGAGGATTCGGCACGACAATGGAATTGAGGCACGCCTGTGGGACATGAGTGGGCGACACATTGACCATTGGGAGCACATGGCACTTTCGGTTTTTCCACCAGGTAGTGTTATTATTTTTTTGGAGAGCGTGGTGAGAGCGGTTTCGGCAGTTGGGACCATCCGATGCTACAAGCGGTAGTGAGGGACCGCTTGAGACCACTTGGAATCAGTTGGGATCGACGCAGGACGCAGTGGATTTTTTTGGGACGAGTGCGGCTCGCCATCTTAGCACTTGGTACTGCCGCGAGTGAAACTTGCGAGTCCAGAACAGATTGGGACAAGCAGTTGGTCCAAGACTTACCTCGGGACTGCGGTTTTGTCGACGACGCGTATATGTTACTTGACTTTTTTTAGTGAGCCACAGCGCGTCCGACACCACTTCATTCAAGGTCAGTCAGTGGACAACTCAGACTCCCTTCACACCTGTGTGCACCCACACATTGCTTGACCCTTTCGCTTTGAATGTTCAGGAGAAAAGGTTGAGCGGGGTTGTGAGCGTCGTGCATGAGTAAAAAAGTGGGTATCACGTAAGTAGTGAGACTTGTCTTGTCTTCTTTTGATCGTGTTGTCTGCGTGGTGTGCAGGTGAGTAAAAAGACTATGTATGAGAGTGTAACAAAATGCTATTTGACAAAATGACGGAGAGTTTCGTCTCCTTACCTTTTTTTCCTTTCGTCAGTGAGTTGGGTGAACTTGCTTGCTATTTTTGAAGGATAATCGATGGGTGCCGTGAGAAAAAGGATCTTGAAAACAGAAAGAGAATCAAAGCATAATGAATTTAACTTTTCCCTAAGAAACCCGTTATATCCCGATTGACCCTCTTATTTGCGCATGTCCGAATGAGTCTTTATCTCTCGCTCTTGACTTTTCTTTTCGTCCAAGTTACCTTGAGTTTAGAAAACAAGAACAGTTAAAACCTGCTTGTGGTGAACACATTCTCATCTTTCAAGGAAGCATCTGGGGTGGGGGCTCGTTGCTTTAGGAGCCGGCCCTGTTATCGATCCAGAGTGGACTGTTTCTACGGGGGGGATACTTTGCCGATTCGGTGGAGACGACCCGACTTCTGAAATCCGAGTTTTGTGCTCGGGCGAGGAGGAGGAGTACCCCAGACCACTTCCTAGAGGGTGAGGCATGCAACACTTCATGCAATGCACCTGATAAAGAATTATCCACAAAGCAGTCTGTCATTGAAAAGATTAGGAACGTACAGGGACAAATGTGTGCATGTCTAATCTTAGGTCGATGGTAGGTTGGAATGAATGACTTTGGCAGCACATCTCATCAAGTTAAAACTAAGGCTGTACGACTACGTTGTCGGCTGCACCAATATTATTGTCGATAGTCAACTTCTTGTTGGCGATTATTTGATTGTTTTGTGGTGTTTGACCTGAGATGGTCGGGTTTTCGATCTTGTGTTATTGGATGTATCTAATGATAATTTGGATTCTATCTGTCATCATTTCAAAATTGAATATATATTCCTGTTGACTACGGTCGATTCTTTTTTATATAATTATATGTGGTAGTTTATCTTTCTTTTGACTGGTGTCTAAATGGACTAGGATACTGTGGGTTTCACACTTGGCTGAGACTG